AATTATACTTGTAGCTTATACTCAATTCTCTTTATTTTAAAACTTCAGGCACTCAGGCTTCTATTTCACCCATCGCTTGTCCTTGGAGACTAATGCAGCTTTGGGGAAAAAAGCAATTGCCTACTGTGAAGAGTCTAGTAGTTACAATTAGAAAATAATAAAACGTCAAAGACACATCTAAATTAGATATAGGGTTTTAAACTTTTTAGTTTAGTGAAATACTACAAAATATTCTCTAAAATCATTATATCCATCAGGTACAATGACCCCTTTGACTGTGCTACCAAATGCAAATTCACGAACATTTATATAGCAGATCTGAGTGTGCATTAGAAATCAGCAATTGAAAATCTATTTCGCTTACCTTGTCACCAGTAATGCGTTACTTAGTGCTGTAATTCCATTTCCTTCTTGAATACACTTAGTAAGTAGGAACACTTTTGTCTCTAGGGTAAAAAGAGCTTAACATCCACAACAACGCTCAGTCTTTTGCTTCCCTTCCTCTTGGTGCTCACAAGTGTCACAGTCCCTGACAGTCCCTACAAAAACAACTGAACTTCTCTCCATGGCCTCCTTTGGTTATTCGTTAAAAAAAAAAAAAGGAAGCACCTATGAATCTTTAATAGCAAGAAACAAATTCTAAAGGAATAGCAATAGCAAAGTCTAACGAAAGACAAACTTTTAACTGAAATTTTCTGACCAAACTAATCTTTACCCAACAATGCACATTTTCTGGAACAGTAGACTCCTAAATTGCAAATTCTCACTGCATATGCTGCCAGGCAAAGTCTTACTGATCCTAACACAGTTTGACCTGTGATAAGAAGCACTGCAAGGTGGCAGAAAAGAGGAAGAGATTATTTATCCTATAATTGTATACTCTGATAGTGTCCAGGTATCGTTATCACAGTCCAAGCTTTTTATGATGAGTGCAATGCAGGCACAAGCAATTCTTGCACCTCAAACGTTGCCAAGCTGCACTCCTCAACCTTACAATGGGCATTAAAAAAGCCATGTGCTTGCACAGATCTTGCAAAAATAGTTGTGAAGACGACATGCAATATATGCTAAATTAGAGAAGAGAATCACACATGATCACCTAGGAATCAATGCTGGTGAAAATGCCTAATGAAGAGCTTTTCTCCCCCACGCTACATGAGTCCTTGGCATGACAATGTGCTGCCTACAGACCCTGCAGCATGCACGTTCCGCTTCTGAGCTGTTACAGCAGCCACATCTGAGCGACGGTGAAGGAGGAAAAGGCACAAATTAAGAATTTATGGAGAAGATGCATATGCCATCCAGCAAGACAATTGCTATGCGTTGTACCTAGTCAGAAGCATCTTGCATTGTCTCAGAAATCAAGCACTATGTCTACAAAATCATAACCAACCTGTGAGGCAGGAGAGAGCGACAGAGAAGCTAAGGGACATCACCTCCACAGAAATCTCTAGATGAGCCAAACCCTCCTCTTCCACCTTGAAGACACCGTCTCCAATGAATTTTGTTGCAAAATTCAAGTTTGTATTACAAGCATGAGGAAAAAATTGTTATCTCAGCCTCACAGGAGCAAACTTAGCATTGCCTATACCTCTACTCTTTTGAGAGGACCAAAAACTTGGGATTGTGTATCTTTAAAAAGCGAAGCCCAGGATGGTATACAATTCATCCCAAGACTAAGTGAAGAAAAGGGAAAAAGAACAATTGGTTGTGGACAAGGTTAGTGAATTCTTCATCAGAAATTAAATTTATGCAGCATATTAAACTCCAATATTGAAGGTGCCTTTTTTTTTTCTTTCAGACTGTTTTAAAATGACATCTAACAAGAGGAACGAAGACAAAAAATCTGGCTTTAAAACAGAACTTGACATATTTATGGCCAACATTATATAGTACTTTTTAACTTCTGCAACAGGAAGCCAGACTTGATGACCCAGCAGCATCCTTTCAGTCCTATTTTTTAGCACTAAGGTTGCTGCTAGGAAGTGGTTCTGTTCCTGAAGCACATTTCCTACTAGTCTTTTGAAAGCAGCATCTGCGTAGAAGAGTATGAGGAAAACCAAAACAGTGCAGTGAAAAATGACAAAGTGAACAAACGCACTGAATCATTACGCGTAGCTAGAAGAGCTCCCAGAGCTCACAAGCACAAACTGCCTGCAAAACCTTTTTCAGAGGGCGCTGGTTAGCCCTGTGGGAAGATGAGCCAGCTTAGCACAGCAAAGCAACATTCTCAAGCAGAACAGCCAGTGCCTACTCCAAAGGTAAGCGACAATCACTGCTGTGCCAAATGTGGTTGTTAGTATCTCACACATAAGTTACATTTATTTTATCTCCCCTTCATAATGGAATAAACTAAAACTTAGATTTATGGCAAGCTTGTCTAGATAACCTTCTTTTCATTCCCCATCCAATTCAGAGAAGCATACACAGTCCCTTCGTAAAATAAAGGGAAGAGAGAACACCTGCAGAATAAACAAGGCGTGTCTTCCCTTGACATACAGTGAAAGATCCGAAAGAACATTAAGAAGGAACACTTCAGTGGTAATCGAGATAAGATTATATGAAAAGATAATGCTTAATCAAGACTGATACTATCTCATCTTACTGTCTGGATAAAGAGAAGTTCTGACACCAGAACACCGGGAAATTTCATACTTACCACTTTATGTCAACTCAAGATAAAGCTTATATTGAGCTGGGCACCTGGCACATCTTACAGACTTTTAAATAAAACTTTTTATCAGTATTAAAACAAGAAGCTTCTAACCAGAAATAAGTCAATCTAAGCTTTTCTTCATTTCTTTATAGGCTGAGAAAGATCAAAACAAGTGATTAAGACATTTCTTTGCTTAATTAACAAATATACAAAGTTTTATTTTATTAGATTGGTTTTCTGCATGTTAACATTATCATATCAATTATAACCCACATTCACAGCAGAAGTTTTCTAATAGCATTTTGCAACACTAACTGCTGTATTAGAAATCCTTAAGAGAAACTTATCTTTAGCTACTCCGGTAACTTGAATAATAAAGTGCAAAACCACAATAAAATCTGACAGATATATGCCCCAGCTCATACTCAGTGGAAAATAAAGTTTGTAAGACCACTAGATATGGATTCACTGCACGCAACAGTGTGACCTGAAGACATCAGTTTTCAAGTTTTCCCATTACCAGACATTGATTACAATGAATAGTTTTCCATTACTTTTAAGGGTAACAAAAAGAAATCACAGTAAGATTACAAATAAAACAAAACATATGGGGCAGACTACCTGAAGCTTAGCCCTATACTTGGTACCTTTTACCCAATAAAGGTTTTAGGAAGAACCGATGAACGGGAACAGTTCATTTCTTGATAGCCTCTTTGATTTTAACTTCAAGGAATCAATGAGCAGGACATTAACACAGCATCTTGTTTGGGACCCAAGTCATAATTTTTCTTAAATTCTTTTTTAACTACACCTGCAGACATAAACATGGTATCATTCAACTAATAAGGATTGCCAACACTACTTACTGTCCCTCTCAATCCAAGAAGAGAGAAGAATCTCAGAATTTTATTGGAATTAAGTCCAATTCACAAAGTATAACCCAAGCTTTCATGTCTCTCCTTACAGCCACTGATGCAGTTTCCCCAGTACCAAACACTCTTTTCAAGACCAATTAAGTATCAGAAACTCTGGGTGCCTTTCCCTTTCTTTTACCTAACTAATTAGTTTTCATTAAGTCCTTTGGTGCTACGACGTAAGTTAACATCATCCGCAAGGAAGACTAGTCAACCTTTTTACTTACAGAATTCAAAGATGCAAATTAAATATTACTCTAAATAAAAGGCTGCCTCCTTTGTAACTGCTAGCATTGCTTCTCTTCTACCACTTTCCAAGAAATGACAGTTTAGCATGCCAAGCTTTAATAAATAACAAAGTTTTAACTATAGATTGTATATGCATCCCTTTGCCATGTTACTAAGCTCAATTTGCTAGTAAACACAAAACACCACTGTCAAAACAGAAAACAGCCTGAACAGCAAGCTTTAAGGACCATGTCCTGTTTATAGCTTTATGTAACCAAGAAATTCACAACGTACATTCCCAAGAACTCATTTTTACATAATACTCTCCTTCACACATTGTTGTATTTCACTACAGTGTTTTCATCAAGGAAACATTTCCATGCACAGATACATGGCAGAACAACCAGTGCTATTTCGGAGGGCTGCAGATATCATTTTCTCCTTTTAGATCATTTAAGCAGATAACCAAATTCAAAGACCCAGCTGTTGAACTCTGGATAAGGCACTTGCCCCAGATGAGCAATACGGCACCAGGCCAGTGTGCAAGAAAAGTCCGTACCTTTTCTTCATCATTTATACCTAAACAAGGAATAGTTCTGTAGCAATTGTGCTCTTTGTCTGAAGCGATCCTCTTGCAACAGCTTGTGCAGCTTTATAAACTGCTTCACATTCTTCCCTAAACTTACTAGTTATGGCCACGTAAATATTTTGAAGACTTTCAGAAGTTTATTATTATAACAATTCTATTTCAAAATAAACTCAAGGTGCACTTCAAAGGGGCATGCAAGATACTCATTAGAACTTGTGAAATGTTACCATGAAATCACAATGATAAAATTTGAATCTGTCCATCAGCAGTTCTTAACCATCTACATAGACAAGTTTTTTCAACTGAGGTCTCACATGATTTCAGTCCCTGAAAAAAAAGTTGCCTCATGGCATGCATAGTATAGACGTCACTAGTGCTACCTGGAAGAGTTTTATCATTATCTCCTCCTCCCTCCCAAAAGGGTACCAATATGAAACCCAGTTATCTTAATATTTTAAATTCACCCTTTGCTGCATAGTCAGCTGCATATATTTAAAGTAATCCTCTGCTCAAAACCTTGGGAGTAGTCTAGGAGTAAAACCTGTTAACTCACCACCAACAGAAGATTAAGAAAGAAGTGAGTTTTGATTTCTATCAAAAACAAGCACATCTCACTTCTGGGGCTCTTTATTACTTTGTCAAAGACATTTTAATAGAATTATTCTGGTCTAGTATTAGATCACAGCCAAAATCTCAGCTTTAAGGAAAAGCCTTCATTTTATACTGTTTTGAACTGCCAGTAGCTTTAAGCACCCAAATAATTTTAATTTTTCCAATTAATGAATGTTCTGCAGTTCCAGAAAGATGAGTTATGCATTTTTGTTCACATACAAAAAGACAGTCTAACAGATGTAAACTATTTATTGAATATTTGCCACCAATATTGTTAAATACATAATCTTGTAGTTTTCCGCTTTCAAGTTAAAATGTCAGAAACAGAACACCAAATATTTACAATTCTTATAAGGAATGTTACATAATGACACATTAAGGCGTAAATTCTTTTGGCTTATAATTCTGAAAAGAATGATAATAGCAAAAAGTGATGCAAAATCTTCATTGTGAGATTATGATTAAGCTACAATGTTTTACAAAAATATGGTGTAAGATGGCAATAATCCCATTCAAAATCCTGCATTAGGCCCCTCAAGAAGGGCTGATAATTTATACAGTCAAAACTTTAAAATTTACATATAAAGGTACCCTATCCACCATTGAAAAGTACAACTCAACATATACAGTTTTCAGGCCACAGTTTTGAAGGTCTGGAGTATCAAGTTGGTTTGATGAATTAATCGGTTGGCACTTATGAACACATTTATTGCCCTGTTAAAAGAGAAAGATATTGCTTCAGACATTTTTAGAAACATGTCATTCAATAAATACAGCATTAAGTTTGGGCAACTAAATATATTGGCATCTAGGCTCTGCGAATTGGAAGCATATTGATGTTTTACCATATCGTGATCTACCTGAAGCTTACTGCTGGCAAACAGATAGACTTATTTGCATAGCAAATCCTAGAAAGACTATGTTTATTGGCAGGCACTTAAAGACTTTGGCTCTCAATCATCATTGACCTATCAATCATTTAATTCTGGGATTTTAGCAAACTAAGAAAACGACTGGAGCAGATGATCGTTAAACGCCTGTTCTTTTCAAAGCTGAACACTTCATCCCCTAGTAATTTCAGAATTTGCAACTCTTTCCTCAAGAAATACTCAGCATGCACACATATGGAAGTAACATACTATTTTAGTTATCTTTTTGTTAAGAAGGAGGTGTGGGGTCACCGAGTTTTTCAGCTCAGTAATGACATCTGTGAGCATGACTATTTTGTTTAGTGCTGTTACCTCCTGGTGGGAGCAGGGTATCTTATTCAACATGCAGTTCAGACAGATTTAAATTACTTCTGATCCCACAAGGATATGAAATACAAGCCTTACTTGGGATTTCTTGCAATATTGATAATACCTAACACTAAGCTTATGCCCACAATACACTGCACAGCATTCACTTCACATAGGGCTAAACAAAGCTGGTTTCTTTCAGTATGGTTGGGTTACATGCACAACACATCCAACCCTTTCCCCATTTTTTCAGTCAAATAGTTTTCTAATCAATTGAGACTGTTTAGACCTAGTTCATGTGAAAACTTACCTATACATGTGTTCAGTAATCATAAAGCTACCAAGGTCTAAATTTCTCATTTTGGTACCATAACCAAATTTAGCCCCCATTTTCAATAAGAGGAGGGAAAAAAAAAAAAAGAATGCTTTGATAGATGCAAGGTAGTATTCGCAGCTGGTCTCAAAACTTCTCTCTCCTTTAGTAATGCACCATCCTCTGGGTGCTCTTAGTCTTTGCCAAGCTCAACAAGACCAGAGGTGAAAGTTAGTTCTCATCTTTAAAACAGTAGCACATAGAACACTTTGGCACTGTCAAAATCTGAGGGGGATACACTCATCAGCCGAAACAGTCACTATAGTGAAACATACAAGAACAGTGACTTCAAAACCCAAGGTGAAGGCCTGAAAAAAGCCTCAGTTTGAAAACTAAAATGTTCAAATATAAAAAGATTAATCAGCTGAGTAATTCCAAATACTGCAAAGCACTATAAGGAGCTATAAAGAAAGGACAATAAAAGTGTAAATCAAAGAAAACACTGCACAGATGTTTAGTGTTTGCAAGTGACATTTCAAATAGGTAGATTACTTTTTTCAATAAAGCATTCATAAATTTTTTGTCCTTGTATATACACTGAAAAAAACCACACAAGCCCAGGAAATTTAACTTCACATATTCAAATTCAAAGCTAATACTGCACATGGGTGTTGTATGGCAGTGCATTCAGACCTCCCTTTCCTGAAAGGCATTACAAAAGGAATAGAAGTATTTTAAAGCAGCCATGATGGTCTGAGGACACAGGTGAGGAAAAAAATTAGGCAAGTCCTGAAGAAGGTAGCTTACGCCCAAAAGCTTGTCTTATTTTTCCCTGTTAGTCAACAAGACCTTTCATTACGTAAAAAGTTAGTACAAAAACATACTTACTTTCCATCTTTAAAATAGGTTTTCAGAGTATCACTGAAACTTTTGGAGTATTTTACAAACTCTTTCTTTTGGTGCTCAAGCGCCTAAGAAACAAAAACACCAGGAGCAGAGTCTTAGTTCACATATTGGTGGGTACAGTCAGAATATTGATCATAAACTGAGCAGACTGGCTAACATTATGTAGGCATAGGAGTTTTGATTTTTTTAGCAGACGTGCAGAGAAATTGCCCTCTTCCTATAAAACTGCTGAGACCTACCATACAACAATCCTATTAAAGGATTATGTCATTGACCAGTTAAGCTCTCCTATTCATCCTTTGATCAGAAGGATATGCTTCCTCTTATACTATTAAAAATATTGTATAAAAAGAGTTATTGCACATACCCGCCGGTTCTGGTATTGGTATTTCTTGAAGACGTTATTTACTGTGTCAAGAAGTTCCTTTATTGCACTCGCGATGTCCCTATTTGGCAATAAAAAAAAAAGTTGTAATATCCTTAAGCTATCCTATTTAAATGTTGGAATTTAATCCCCTTTAGTAGTCAAATACTTCTTAAAACAGTCTCTACAGAGTAAGTGTCAGACAGGATGTAGCAAGACCAAATGCAAAGAGCTAGACCAGTGACACAGAGATTCAAACTAGGAATCAGCAAGTTAAGTTCAGTCTAGTTAACATGGGGCTCTTGTTAAAAATCCTCAACTCTGTCCACTCATTTATGAGCAAGGATCAGGCTCCTTTCCAATGGGAACAGTGTTGCTAGCATCTCCTACAGCATTTGAACATTCAGATTTAAATGCAAAGTTTGACCCCTCAATCTGCAGAAAAATATGTAATACAGTACTTACTTGATTGTCTGAAGAAACCTCACTCTGTCATTGATCTCATCAGGAATCTTACTAAGAATCTGCTTAAGTGCTCGTGCCTTTTCATTAAGATCTTGGAATTCTGGTTCTGGTCTTTCAATCATATACTCTAACAAGAAGAACATATTCAAAAATACCATTAGTTTTTCCTCAAGTCTCTAGTGACAGCTAAAAACACTACTTCACAAAATGCAGTTGTATTGCCGTGTTACATTTGTTGCACAAAAATAGCCATGACCAGAAAACTGCAGTGAATACACTCTGCATTGACAGAAACACACTGCAACAATGATCTTTATTATTGCAAGTTGGAAAAAGAGCCCATCTTACTTTATTTAAGTGAGACACTGAAGACACTAATCAAATACAGTATTAAAATAACTTAAAGCCTACTGTATGCTCCCCTTCTCTGACAGTATAACTACTGCTTTTAATTTGAAGCAGAGAAAAAGGAAGGTATTCTACTTTTTTCTGCTTGTTAGTATTGCAAAAGGTGAACTATGCACCCACATAAACAGTTCTAAACGTTCATTTTCTTTCTTTTTCTTATTAGTGAGGTATGTTTTTTAGGGAGATTTAACTTCTCCAAAGGAGGTATTCAGAAAATACAAATATTCTTCTACCATGCTGGAAAAAAAAAGCCTATTAAGAAACAAATAACCTCTTCTAAAAATAGGCATAGAAATGCATGTTCCTAGTTAACAGTGTACTTAAAAATACATTTATTCAACATAAGAGGTAAGATATTACCTTCTACATCATCAGCTGCCATACGCAGAAGAGACTCTGTGAAGTTCACATCCACACTTTTTTTCTCCAGAATTTTCATAATGATGTCCTGTGTAAGACCTGGATTTTCTTTTTCAGCCTGTATGGCAAAGAAAATTTTTATTCTTAAATATGCAAGACCTGAATATTGCAAGCACAAAGGCAGATTTTCATGTAATTTGCTTCATATGCTGCAGGAGTTCGCTATAAACTTTAAAAGTCTAATGGCTTTAGACTAGTAGATTACATTGAAAAGCATTTTTCCACTACAACATCCATTTTTCTTGGATTACATCAGTGATTTTGTATAAACAACTTTTCCAATAAGCCTTTCCACTCATTTCAATTTGAATAAGAAAGTTTTTCATGAAGTTCTATATTCTGTTATATTTCCATAAACACTAAGCTTTGAGACAAAGATATTGTATCCATTGGGATTTAATTCACTCAAACACAGGTGTTACTCCCCCATCTTCCACATGACATTTTATAAATGTGCTTTTTATGAATCACATCATATGCTCAAACATCATCGTGGAATTGCTTTTTCAGAAAAAACCCTTTTGATTGATGACATATCTAAGTAAAGCTAAGCTAGACTAACATTGGAGGTATTCACACTACCTGTGCTGCTATCAGAAAACTATGCTGTGTTGAATAAGAATGAGGATGTGTGGTTTTTTTTTTAGCTAGCACTACCATTTCCACCAATACCTCAGTTTTTACATTATTTGCGTTCAGCTTAGCTCCTTACCACCAGTCGTAAAAACATTTAACTTGTACAAGCTCTAGTCGAGACTTAAGACTGTCTAGGTACACTTAATCGATTTAAGTGTAGAAACAGGGAAGTATTACTTAGGTGCATAGCTCACATGTTAAGACATGACATGTCTACAATTATTTTTGTTTAAAGAATTTCAAAAGATCACTACTTCAATAAAGCAGTATAAAGGAATATCTGCATTTTCATTCTTTACGAATATAATAGAAAAGTTAGAAGAATCTTTTTTCCATTTACTGCTGAATGCAAATACAAACATTGAACTCATCCACAAAAAAATCCCATTACCATTCACTTTGTAAACCATTTTCAAAGTCTGCCTCATGCCTATTTCTCATGAAAACCTATTCTACACAGTCTTGTCATATTTAGACTAAGTTTATTACCTTCACTCACTGATTCCTCATCTAAACTTTTGTACTCCATGGACAAGACAAGATTCTCTTTGTTTAAAATTGCTCAACATGCTTGTATCACGCAGATTTCTACTCATGACATTTGCAGACATTTCAAACTTACAGTCCAATGCAATCGTCCACTTTATTTTTATTTTTAGACTATTGGATCAAGGATGCAGTCTTCAAACATGAAGACACAAGGAAACAAGACAGCTGACTTTTTAGCTTCATCGTATGTGGTTTACCTTTTAAACAATCACTCTTCAATGCAAGTTACTTCTCACCTTAATAAAAGCTGCTCTCAGCGTCTGAGCTGCAGATAGATTTACTCTTTCTAGCTGCAATAAAAGTTTAGAATTATTAGCAATTCTAATGTTATCAGAACAAACCAAGTCAAGTACTCATGCCTTGCCTTATATAGTATAATGAAAAAGGGAATTGATAGAAGCATTCAAATTACTGGTCTCATTTGAGGGAGAGATACTTTATAGTTTAATCCCAAAGGAAAGAATTTCCCCCCCAAATAAAAACATTAAAATCAAACATGTCACTGGACATATTTTGCATTTATCCAGCCTACAGCAGAAGTCTGACAGAAGCTTTTGAGAACATCTTGATCATCTCTGATACTCACAGAAAAACAAGTATCTTATTAAATTATAGCCATTAGCAGTAAAATTAAAATGTATCAAGGTCCACCGTACGTTACTTCCTGCCATAGAATGCAGGACCTAGCATTTTTGTGAAAAACTTCTGTAAAAGGTAAGAAAAAAAGATCAGGGCCAAGACAACTAGCAATCTTTGACGAGCATGAAATTGTATTCATGGCAAGAAGGGTAAAACAATGCATAGAAAGAAGATGGTGTTAGACACAAAGCTTTCCCAATCAAGATGAGCAACCTGTTACTGTGACCATATGTCCCAATGTAAAGGGGATTATTACATTCTAAAGCAAAACGTAGCTTACCTCATTAAAGACAGGGTACATAACAGCATAGAGAGGCATGGAAACCATAGAAGTGGTCTCTGCTTCATTCTTCATCTCTTCCATTGTCATCCTCATTCAAAGACCCACTTCTCAAGGAAAACACTATAGAAGCAAAAAACTCCTCATTCACCGAAATGTTTCTTCTTTTTCCTCGTCGTGCAAGAATACTTGAAGAACTTGAAAAATATATTGTCCTTAGGTTGTGCAAGAAAAAAACAAAAACCAAACACAATTATGAACACTCATGACTGACAGGTTCTAAAAATGAAAAGGCACAGAACAACATTAGTTTGTTACTACCTAGAAACTAGGAATTACTTATGACATGAGTTGAGTAAATATGGAATGACTTATTTCCTGTAACTTAAAAACCCTAACTGAAATCTATTAAGTGAACAGATATTTTAAAGAGTAAGGTACTACGTTTTACTTTAAGTTCTTATGGAATGAATTTTCCTGAACGAAGTGGTTTTATTTGGTATGTATTACAAAAATCTTGCCACCACTCGTAAGCGGCAGCATAAGATTCCTGACAACTCTCATACATAAAAAGCTTGAAAAGCATTACATGCTGTAAACCCAAAACCTATACAGATGCATTATGACAATTAACATTAAGACTACCTATAAATACTTCATATTTTTGCATATGCATCAAGCTGTGCTTCTGCTGGAGATCAGTGCCTACTTTCTACCCATTTGAATTCCAAATACTACATCTTTGTTTTTATATAAGCAAAAGTCTTAAGTCATGTTTCCACTCAGGGTGTGTCAACAGCTATGTTAACTCAATGGAAAATTATTGTTCCAGTAACTGAACCCAGTTTGGAAGTTCTCCACCCAGTCCAGCTCATCATATCCAACACAGAGTGATCATTGCTCAGACCCTGAAATTATGTGGAAAAGAAAAAAACGTCACCCTACAGTTCATAAGAAGTCTTTGTTACGTCCTGCTATATTTTCTGTTCATAAGATTCTTTTAAAATATTTTATATAACATAATTGAGTTTAAAGACCTAAAGTCCAAGTTAGGAGTAAAGATACACAGAAGGAGATTAACAGGTTGAATTTTTAGATTTGCTTCTAGTATTTAATGCACTAGAGGAGGTTTTTTCCTCCTAACAAGCATCAGGCATTTGCATGTTCGTGTATTGATTTTATTGATATTCTACGAAGAAGTGGGGAAAAAAGTGAAATTTTTAAGAAACAGCAGAAGCTACTACAGTAATCAATATCACTTCCCAATAGTTTGAACAGGTTAAAAAATGCCAAGGTATTTCTTCAAGCTATATTCCTCATTATGCTCTGCATCGGCTAAAAATCTTCAAGCTGTTTAAATAGAAGAACAGATATTCTTTTTTGCTCAGGGAAGGAATATAGTAGTTTAGCTATAATTATACAAGTGAAATTTGTTATTGATTACAGTAAGCACAGAGAACAACTTGGATGACTACAAATATCATGCATGTCTCATCTGAGCATGTGATTAGGCAGTATGAAGATACCCAAAAGTGAGAAAACAAGTGAAGAACTGGTCACACTACAGAAACAGCCAACAGTTAAAACATGATTTGAAGAAAAATTAAGCACGAATATAGTAACAAGCAACAGCTCTTTATACAAGTCTTCTGACATGGACTACTTATTGCAAAAATCTCATCTTTGTTTCTCTTACTGTTCCAACCCTTCAGCATGACATACGTGAGCAGATTCCTATAGCCGCAGAATAGGATTACTGAGACTTTAAAAAGGGGTCTGTATAAATGAGGCATGTCCACATGGATGGAATTGTAAAAATCAGGCCTCTCATTTTTATCACCTACCCATAGATATTTTACAGCTGTCAAGAACATGGAAGAATACAAATGAATATTCATCATCCCTCAATAAGTTGAATATCTTTAAAGACTCGTTTCAGAGTTACATAAATTCATGCAAGGTCTACTCACATGGGGGGGCCAGTGGGGGGGGGAGGGAACTTGCCTGTACAAGTTTTCACTCACAACTGCAAGTACAAGCTGTCCCATTTATTATACATACATATTCCTTGCACTACAGACTCTGGCATGTAAAGGGCAGAGTGGATGGAGAGCTGTTTGTTTTACAGTTTAATTCTGTGTTTCTGGAAGTTCAGTAAAAACATACACTCACACAAGATACTACACTAACAAGCACCACTGAAGACAGCATTTGCAGCTTAATTTACTGCAAGTTTTTATTTAGAGTACTGTATTCTCAGAGTACGTTTTTAAAACAGTTAAATCAGGTCACTAAACATTGTTCTAGTCTACCCAAAAGATTTTTGATCATAGGAAGAAGGGCAAAAAAGGACAAAATAACCATTAGATATAATTACTTTGGTTTTATATGGGTTAGCAGTATCCACAAAGAAAAGGAAATACTAACTGAAATGATGGATTTTTATGATGATGAAAGCCTATTACACTGTGGACTACCATGAAGAACTAATTTTCTCCTGAAGAGCCATAAGCTATTGTTACTAATCCACGGTACAGTTAAACCCCCCATATAAAAACAATTATACACCATCTATCACCTCTTTACCAGACAGCGACACTCCTCAAACAAAATACAAAACCTTGGATTTCTATTAATACAAAGGATACAAGTCTTACGACTGAAGACAAGAGGTAGATTTAAATATATCTGCACACAAGAAATACATAAGAACATCAAATACTTTTGTTGTGAACATAGGAAAAGAAATATATTCAATATATCACACTGGTTGTTCATTATTCCAGAAATCTTCCCATTTTCCAGAAGATACAACAACACTAGGTAGTGTCATGCTGTCATGCAAGTACCTGACTGCTAACATGCCACACTATTGGTCTTTGCAGCTAGGGATCAACTTCTTCACATCTTTCAGATATAACTTAGATGCACTGCAGTCTTTGCTAGTGTTAAATAGCAGGGATAAAAATCTTCACAGAAAAAAAAATGTTTATTTGCATTATAGAAAGATAGTTTATCATAGCTGCACTAAATCATACAAATATCTTTGAAGAAGGGCTCAATCGTGATTATGGACCAAATCCCCATGAAAACTGAAGTTTCTGTTCTATTATTTAGATAAATTAGTAGAAAGTCCACTAGCCTTCAAAATGGCCTGATAAAAGCCAAAGTTTAATGCATATTATCACGCAGCAACTAGGAGCTTTCAGTATTTCTGTTGGTATGTGATCAAAAGCAGCCATCTGCATAGCTGCCAAGCTTTATGGCAACTCTGTCTTCTAAAGCTTAACTTCAGCTCCCTACAATCTCAAAAGAGTCTTTTATTTGAGATGAGTTTACCCTAGTTTCACCTGCCAATTGTTTTTTTACATTCTCAAAAAAAATGGAATAAGATTCCATGAGAAGGTGATTTATCAGAACAGCACAATGTAGTCGCACGGTTCAGAAAATCCTGGCAAATTGCTGTAAGGTGCAAAAAAGGTGTTAGCAGGCAAACTTGTTAATTGGTCTGCAGGGAAAGACAAGGAGAAGATAGTAGGATTTGCTGTCTGGAATAGACAGACTGCCAAATATTAATCTGCATGCAAGCCTGATCTTTTTTGTTACAGTGATCTCACAGATTCAAATCTGTGTATGTGTAATTAGAAGTCATGCTTCATGCTACATCAGATGACATCAACCATCAGAGAGAATGTACAGAATGATATAGGGAATTTAAAGAGAATCTAAATTTGAAAATTATGCTAAAATGCCAGCTAATACAATCCTGCTGTTCAGTCTTAAACCATGGAACACATCAAGCTGTATTCCAAGAGATGTACTAACATGGAGTATATACTTCCACTGTGAGTACAAATCTTACATTCTAACCTTTAAGTTCCAGCACTAAAATATTATCCCAGCTATTCAGCAAACACTGAGAGAACTGGTACATTTTAGATAAGGAACAAATCTGGAAGGATTCTTTGATAGACCTATTCCCCCATATCCATCCAATGACATTTTAAATCATTCAACTGAACTTTATCAGAAAAAACCTGCATTAAGATAAACTTCCTGTAAACCAAAAAGGGTAAATAGCAAAAAACACACTTCCAAAAATGTACAACTACCATTATCAGTATCTAAGGTGATAATTTGCTTTCTCTAATCTGTGTCATTTACTGACAGACTTTTGGTCGTGCACTAAAATCAAGTAGCAGAACTGCAGAGCTACTTAGTAAGAATAAAACCATCACAGAGTGCAGTAATCTTCCCCAAACCCACATCTGCTCATTCGCCAGTGTGAAAACAAGCAAGTTCCCCATGAAAGAAAGGTGTTTAACACTATTTTTTGAAATGGTGTTTAAAGAGAAGAGAGCAGAGTCTCATGCTTACAACTTTTAAAGTTTTAAAACAACAGAAACATGATGTATCAGTTGGCAGGATTTCAATCTTCAGTTATGCCATCAGTAGATCTACCTACACACTGATGTTGTCTCTGTTCCCTTTTCCAGGCTCCATCTGCCTTAGATCTGGAAAACTTTAAGCACCTAGACATTAATACTCTTTTTTAGAAAAGTACTAAAGAGGAACAAGGCCTGAGGCAGTGATCTACCAGAATGATTATTTCCATGGTTGGCTTCTAGCAAAAATTACAGCTCTATTCCTGCTAGAAAAGGCTATCCTTACTGCCAAGAAGTTCTGCTCCACTGTTTGCAGTGAGGATTCAAGAGGAGGTTTTACCTTTAACCTAATCTGAGACCCCTGAGTTACCAGAAAAACTAATTAAAGTTCAAGAAGAAAGAGTGGGGGAAGGGAAATAGCAGCATGAATTCTATCCTGAATTCAGAGGCAAAGAGCTTGGCTCCTATTTGTAAGACCAGCATGAATGGGAGGAGGGAGTTTAGGTAATTTACTAATTACAGTTGCAAATTTTACAGAAGAAAAAAAATTGCAGAGTATGCTCTTTTAACTATATGCATACCCCACGCATAGCTTGGTAACTAAGTTTCCCTTATTAATGGTCACTTAAAAAAATAAAGAAACCCACACTCCTTTTCCTTGTCAGATGGTACCTTACCTGCCAGCTCTGTATTTCAATCATAGACTCTAATTATTTCACATTGTATAACTTAGACTATACGGTACAAAGCTTAAAGGCTTTGTGCTTCACATACAGAACTATTTTCCCTCTTTTTAAAACTGAGGTGACTTCATGGCAGTATGGTTGAATTCATTGGAATTGGCATGCAGA